CCTACCTCAGTTCAGCATAGTGTTGCCCATAGTGTTCCTTCTCAGCTTAGCCATGCCTTTGGAGGCCCTGGCCTGGAGGCCGGCTTGTTCTGTGGGCTATGCCTTTCCCCTGGGGTGCTGAGAGGACCAGGGGCTGGCTGAAGTAGGACAGCTGGGTTCCTCTCAGTCTCTGTGGGTAATAGGATATTTTACAAGAATGCAGGCCCTTTGCTGCTCAGAGAAATGCTAGGGATATGGGTGCACAGGTATGCCCAAGGGAGCTTTTGCTCTGTGTCTGACTTCTGGGGAATCCTCAGATGGGCAGGGCAGGGCAAGGAGGAAGCATCTCACAGCACTGCAGAGAAGCAGCAGCATTACAGCTCAGCCTGGAATGAAAGAGACCGACAGAGACAGTCAGCTGATCTGAAACTGGTGGGTCTTGGAAAACATGGTATCATGGCAAAATTAATTTTCTTTTTCTGAAGCTTTTTGCTTCTCTCTTTACTTTCTAGGGGCTTGGAAGTCTCATAAGCCTCTCCACTTTCCTCCTTATCAGAACCTTCTCTCCACAAAGGATCAGATAGACTCACTCTGCCAGCTCAGTGAACTCCATACTATAAGGTATTTGCAGTTAACAGGCATCTCTAACCTGAGGATTTAATGGCAGAATCTTGGGCTGTTACTTGATGGGAGGGAAAATTATTTGGGTGCATAGAGTTGTTTCAGAGTCACTTAAATCAAACCTGAAGGATGGTTTGGTACCACTGGGCAGAGGGAGAGAAGGAGTGCACAGTGGGTAGGGCAAACATGCTCACCTTCCGGACACTGTAGATCCAGTTGAGATAGGCTGTGACCTTGGTGTACACTCCTGGAGTGCTTGGGCCCCCACAGCCATGACCCCAGCTCACGATACCTACCACTTGCCACTGGTCAGCCTGGTACATCAGGGGCCCACCACTGTCACCCTGTGAGAGGTCAGAACAGGAACTGCTGGGAAGGGCAGGTGGGGAGCTGGACTTCTCCTTCCTCCTCTCTCCGAACTGACCTGTCTGTTCTGGACAACTCCCCAAAGCAGCAGTCTCTCCTGTCTGTCCTCATCCCCTTTGCTCATGCTGCTCCTGCAGACTGGAATGCCCTTCCCTTTTCATTCTGTCTGTGGTCAAGTAAGTTGTGGGCATGCATTTAGCCCTGTCAAAAGTGATTCACAATGCACACCAGCAAATTGAAGGCTCTCAGGAGGTCTTATGGAGCCCTGGTGGAGCGGTGGTTAAGAGCTTAGCTGCTAACTGAAAGGCTGGTGGTTCAAACCCACCAGCCACTCGGTGGGAGAAAGATGAAGCAGTTTGCTTCTTAAAGATTTATAGCCTTGGAAACCCTATGGGGAAGTTCTACTTGGTCCTATAGGATCACTGTGGTAGTTAAATTTGTATGTCAACTTGGCTGGGCCTGGTTGAGTGGCTGGGCAGCTGGTGGTAGTTATTCCCCATGATGAGACTGGTAATCAACTCCATGGTGGGATCTACCACAAGCAGCTGAGTAGCTGCCTTTGGGATGTGGTCTGCTTCCGGCATATAAGGAGAAGCCTTGGGGATAGTCTCTAGCCTATGGCATGCTTGGACCCTGCATGTAGCTGTGTCGTTGTTCAGCAGCCTGCCATGCTCTGCCGACCTCGGGACTTACAATGGACTTAAATTAATGGCCTACCATGTGGTTTGGTAACATCGGGACTTTGCCTTTTTGCTTGTCAACCTTGGTCTTTTCAGCCTCAGAAGCCAGCAGCTGTCTGAGCGAAGAAATGCCTCTAGCTCCAGTGGGCCGGGAGCAGGAGGCAGAGCTGGACCCCAAAGTTGAGGGGCTTTCACTGAACCCCTAGAGTCTGCCACTCTGAACTTGGACTTAAAGCCCCCAAACTGTAAGAGCATAAACTCCTGTTTGTTAAGGCCATCCCATTTGTGGTATATTTTTGTCAGAGTAACATCAGGTAACCAGAACAGTCACTATGAGTAGTAATTGACTTGACAACAAAGTTTTTCCTTTTTTTTTTTTTCTCCAGGAGGTGGGTGTGGGTGGGTGTGCAATAAGGAAAGCTGGCCATATTTGTTTAATCTGGTATTTCCCAAACTTATTTAACCACTTGTTGAGTGCCTATTTTGTGCCAGGCACTGTTCTAGGCAGTTGAGATTCAATCAATGTGATAACCAAAGATCCTTGTACTCAGATTCCAATGGGTAGAGAAAGACAGTGAGTAAGCAAATAACTAAACAGACAAGAACATGTCAGATAGTGAAAAGTGCAATTATTTGGGTATCCTTCCTATCGAATACCATAGTTCTTGGGGCTTCCTCCCTCAGGACCCAATAACTCTATGACCTGTCTATATGTCACCTCTGCCCCTCATCCCGACAAATGTGGAATCCCTGAGGTCAGACACTATCCCCCCAACATAGCATGTACCTGGCCCACAAGAGCTGACTAACAGATACCTCTTAAATGAAAGAATGAGAATGGGGGAAGGAGAAGGTTTGGGGTTTAAGATGAATGGAAATGCTCAGAAGATCCTGGCAGTGGGGAGTGAGGATGTATAAAGGGATTGCTAAGCAATCCTGATGGCCAGTGGGTAGGGGGTGAGGGATATTGCATCAGAGGTTGGCCAGCATGAGATGGGTTTTCTTTAGTGTAGTTCAGCAGCTTGGGGATGATGTTGTTGTTGTTAGGTGCCATTGGGTCAGCTCTGACTCATAGTGACCCTATGTACAACAGAATGAAACACTGCCCAGTCCTGCACCATCCTCACAATCCTTGCTATGCTTGAGCCCATCATTGCAGCCACTGTGTCAGTCCATCTTGTTGAGTCTTCCCCTTCTTTGCTGATGTACTACTTTACCAAACATGCTATCCTTCTCCAAGGAATGGTCCTTTCTGACCATTGGGGATAGTCATAGAGAAAATAGACCTGTAGTTCCTTTCTTCAAGAAGCTCATAATGATGGGAAATAGGGTGGGTAGAGTGAGTAATATTATCTTTGTATATGAAGTATACATTAAAAATCTTTCTTTTCTCTACTTACCTACCATCCATCCATCATCCATCCATCCATCCATCCATCCATTCATCCACCCACCCATCCATCCATCTGTTGGTCTTTATATCCCTAGCTGACTATTCCTTCCTTCTTTACATTTATTATACATTGAGTGTCGATAATATGCAAAACTTCATGTGGGATATTCAACTGCAGGGTTTTCTTGTCTCTTTGGTACCTAAATCCCTAACCGCAGAATTCTTCGATGAACCTTGGAGGCCCCACCTGGCAGGTGTCCACGCCGCCCTTCAGGATGCCTGCACACAACATCTTCTTGGTAACTTCCCCCTGGTATGCATCCTCTGCATTGCACCTTGTGCTGTCAATGACCTGAACCGAAGCCTGCAGCAGTGTATCAGACATCTTCCCTGGGAGGTTGAGAACACATTCACACTCATATTCCTGCCCTCTACCCTCAGCCCAGATTATTTTTCTGGTTGTTAAGGACTTCACTTTTTGCTTGGCTTTCTGGGAGGATAATCCTCCTTCCATCACCTCCAGGAGCTGATCACTCATCCAAGGGCATCTCCTGACCAGTAGGGTTCTAAGCCCAAGACTTACCTCCATCCTGCTCTGTAAAGCCCCATCCAATAACCCAGAGTGGGGTGGCTGGAGTGAGATCCTCATCAGAGAAGGGCAGGCAGATGGGTCTGACAGTACCTGCCAGGAGCAGAGAGGCAGACCCAAGGTTTGGGAGAGTCTGGCAGCTAAGCTTCTCAAAAAGTTCAAGCTAGAGTCTCCATAACACTAGTTCCATGGGATGTTAATAGAAGTGGCATGAAAAAAATGTTCTGTGATCAAGTAAGTTCTAAAAATGTGAGTGAAACACAAGAAAATAAATTCTTTTAAAACACTTCTCATATCTTTGCCATACTAAAGTACTCCAAGATTCTCCAAGGACAGTGTTATAGAATGAAAATGTTTCCCAAACTTATTTGACAATAGAACTCTCTTTTCCCCAAGGGACCAGTTTCCACAGTTGGAAATGCTGACCTGATACTGCTCAATATAAGTATGACTCATCTAGTAGAACTGTTCAAAGATTCTATGATCTCCCTTAGAAACAATGAGTTCCCTATCTCTGAGGAGAGCAACTGGGTACAATGACCCTGGAAAAGGAATATTATGCAGGCTCTTGGCTACTAGTTTGGGGTGAGGGATGGACTAGATGATCTGTTAGGTCCCTTGCAACTCCAAGACTGGATGAATCTGTATGACTTTCATTTGAGGTGCTCCAAGTGGAGAAAACAGACCCACAAAGAAGTTCTGGTGGGGGATGGGGTGGAGGTGTTAGCTGGCAGCTCTAAGAGGCCTCATGGCATTCGATGATGTTAGGCTAATATATTAGTTAGAAACAAATGGGCAAACTGAGGCCTTGAGAAGGAGAAATGGTGTGTCCAAGGCCACTTGGTAAGCTAGTGGCAGAGTGGAGCTAGAGCCTAACCCTAAGGGGCTCAAGTCACCACCCTTGAAGCTCTGTTCCCAAGTACTATCTCTCACCTGAGAATGTCAGTGGGAACTGCAGCTTCACGAGGGCAATGTCCTTCTCTTTGGGGTACTTGGTGTTGAGTTCAATGGTGAAGATTTTGGCCACAGGCAGGGATGGGAAGTTGCCCAGTTTGTCTGATCCAACCCTCACCTTCCAGTGGGACACATCAAGGTGCTTCCTGGGACCAGAGAAGAGCTAAGTTCAGGCCTGGGCCAAGCATGCTAAAGCCTGGGTCCCCATGGTCCTGTGTATTCCAGTGCTGTGTATCCTTGCCTTAGGAGGCAACATGATGGTAGGGACAGAGAATGGTAGGGAAGGGGTAGTCTGAAGGTTACCCACCATAAGGTGAGTTATAAAAAGGGATTTTGTTTTTCTTGCCCAGTGAAATCCATGCCAGGAAATTTTCATCTAGAGAGCTGGGAAGGGGCTGTTCCTAATGTCCAAGCTATAGAGCTCCTGGTACTCTCTCCTCTATCTTTTTATGGTTCGTGTTAGTCAAGTGGTACTTGTACTGTGGTCAGTTACATAATGTACGATACCTGTCTTTCTTTCTCCTTACAGCAGACACAATTTTATGTGCAAGAGTATTTTTCCAGGAAAGGGTTCATGTCTTTTGTTAGATTACCAAGAAAGGTTAAGAACCAGTAGCCTAGACTGTGAACTCTTTGAAGGCAGTGATGGGTTCTAGTGCCCTTGGGCACATAATACAGTGGTTGGTACCTAGAAGTTACTCAGTGTTTGCTGAGTGAATGGATGAATGAAAGTGAGGAAAGCCTGGGAATTATCTTTTCCCAGAAATATAGGCAGTCCTCTCTTGCTGGCCTTTAAGGGACTCTATAATTATTTTTTTCCCCCAAGTTTCTGGACATAAGAAAGGTGTGGCAGTGACTCTAGACCCTGGAACCACTTCCTAAAAGGCTGGCAAAAAAATCTTGGGGACTCCAAGAAGATGGGAATAGCTTGTGTGTGGTAGGAGGCAGTGAGGAGGGTGTGAAGACATTGTATATCTGATGGTTTTCCCACCAGGCAGAGGTGCAGGTTGGTGACCAGCAGTCTCAACTCAGATCCTTAATGCCTAACAAAGGAAATGCTGTACAGCCTTGTTGGGGTGGCCAAACTCTGGCACATGCCTCCAGGGGGAGAGTAACAGGAAATGAGGCCATCAAACAACAAGTCAGGAGATGGGCCCAGCCCCTTTTACCTCCCCATGGCTTTGATCCCCCAAGTGCCTTGCAGCCTTGGGCCTTACCTGAAGCAGTGGGCTGCTGTGAGGATCCAGTGAGGGTCCAGGATGCTTCCTCCACAGATGTGTCTATTGTACTGGATACTGACTTGCCAAGGCCAAGAATCCACAGAGGCCTTCTCCCCGCCCACCACCCGAGGGGCCTTCAGGCTCTCCCCACAGGCTGGACTCAGTAGAAAGGATGAAGAAAGAAGGAAGTCAGACTCTTGGGATATGGGGCTGCCTTCCCTTAGATACCAAAGTTTATCTTGAGAAAGACCTGTGTGTGATTGTCACCAGGAGTGTGGAGGAGGATCAGGCCAGTTTTGAATTATTCATGGGAAGGTACAGACTGTCTCAGACCACAGACTTTCCCTAAATATCCCTCTCCTCTTTCTGGATTTGGATGTGTTCAGGAGTTCAGTTTATGAACAAGGATGTGTCTATTGTGCTGAGAAGTCATGTCCTTCAAACAGTGATGCAAAATTATGAAAATCTGCCTACGTGGAATGTCCCCAGTTGCTCCCGCTGAGTAACAACAGTAAACAGACACCTACAAGCTCCTTCGAGACCCGGGAGCGGCAAGAAAGCCTCCCAAACTGGATCTTTCTATCCTTTAGCATCATCTTTCTCAAAGTCCCTTCCCTCTGTTGAATGAGCTTTCCAACCTGACATCTTGTCTTCCTCCTGTCCTGGCTTGCCTGTCCCACCCTTGAACACTTGCAAAAACCTTGAATCTTATCTCCCCATACCTGTTTTTTGCCAGTTTCCAGTAGCAACCACTGCCGTGGATGTTCTAAGAAGGAAGGCCACCACCCCTGTCCCATAAGCTCGGCACTATATAGATGGGGCTTTTCAAATACCATCTAATTTCAAACACTGCTTTTTAAACATCCCCTCATTCACTCACTAAATCCCCTTGGTAGGGTTGATTGTTAAGATTGAATTTAAGCTTCTCCTGGCAGCTTCTTGCTGTCCTTATAAAAAGTCTCTATCTAGTCAAACTAATCTGCTTGTAGGTCCCTAAAAAGTCAGTCTGTTTTCACTCAAGAAGGTATTGACAGAGCTGTGACATGAAGAGATATATGCACACTCATGTTCATCGCAGCACTATTCACAACAGCAAAAAGATGGAACAATCTAAATGCCCATTACAGAGAAATGGATCACACACTATGGTATATATACACAATGGAATACTATGCAATGTTAAAGAAAAATGATGAATCTGTGAAACCTCTCATGACATGGATGAACCTAGAACACATTATGCTGAGTGAAATTAGTCAATCATGAAAGGGCAAATATTGTAAGAGACCACTATTGTAAAAAAGTCAAGAAAAGGATTTCACAAAAAAAGAAACGTTCTTTGTTGGTTATCAGGGATGGGTGGAGAAGGAAGGGTAAACAAACCAATAAAAGAATTTAAAAAAAGAATACAAAAGAAAAATCAATGAACTATTTGGGCACTCATCTCTCCCTCCCCTGTAAAAAAACACAGAGAGAGAGAGAGAGAGAGAGAGAAGATACTGAATCCCTTTTCTGAAATGCTATCTTCTCTCCTGTTTATCTAAATCATTAATCAATTCAGTAGATTTTCATGGAATGCATACTGGTCCCAGGGACAGTGCTAGATGTTGGGAATAGAATGGTGAACAAGACAGAAAGACAAACAGACATGGTCCCTTCTGTCCTGGAGCCTACAGATTCATTCTTTAATGCTTAGCCCAGTCAGCATCCAGGCCATCCAGCCATTCCTCTCTTGGAATGTCCATAGCCTGCCATGGATGTTGGCCAGCCTTTCATTGCTGTCATACTTAGGCCCTGTTTTCTCAGGTGCTGAGTATCCTTGCCTTAGGAGGCAACATGATGGTAGGGACATAAGAAAGGTGTGGCAACCTGAAGGTTCCTCAAGGAAGGTCTGTGACATATCTCTTCGTGTCTTTGGTGCTGCTCAGTTAAAGTCAGATGATGTGATCATTCATTCACTCACTGACTGGCCACCATGTGCCAGATCCTGCGTATTAGATACTGGGGAGATCATGATGATGGATAAGAGTCTTAACATCCAGTAGTGAAGTACACATGCTGCTAAGATGTAAAGGCAAAATTTAAGGTCTTCCTCTCCTCTTAGGCTTTCCCAGCTCTTCCCATCCCTCCTGGACCCACTCAGCTCTACTTCTTGCACAAGCGGATAGGATGAATCTGGGACATGGTGCTGGTTTTCTCTTCTGATCTCCTCTGTTAGAACTAAGAAGGATCTCCCGAAGTTATCATTGGTCAGTGTACTAATGGATTTCTTTGGAAAATGAGCCTCAGAAAGGCTAGGTGAACTACTCAAGGTCACATTGGAAGACAACGGCTGGTACCCAGGTCTCTGACCCTGTCCAGAGATCTCTGCAGTATGCTAGTTGTGATTACCACGCAGCTTGATACTTGTCACACGTGGCCTTGCATCTCTCTTTGCTCAAATCATAAGGTCCTTGAGGAAAGTGACTAATCCTTTTATTTGTCTGCTATATTCTACTTCCAACCAGCTCCTATTAGTGTTGGACACATTCTACTCTTCAATGAATTTTTGCTGAATTGAATGTAGGTGATCTGACCTTGGATAACTGAACTGATTGTGACAAAGGAGGTCTATGTGGGCTCTGGCCAGGATTAAGGGGGGTGGGGTTGGTGAAGGCCAGGCTTGCCCTTTGCAGTGTTCTTACTCTCTCTACCAGAGGACTTGGGTACCAGACCTTCTTTTAAGTCTCTGCTCAGGTTGTGTGCCAATGGCAGGAGGGAGCTTTTAGCAACAACCACCTGAAGGATCATCAACTTACAAGCTTGAGACCCAAAGCTGTGAAGGTGGGCCAAACAGAGTGAAACTTGGAGTCTGAGAGATTTAAGAATGAGGATGAAGGCCCTTTTCCCTGTTTACTGCTGGCTTAGGGACCAAATCCCAGAGATGGGGTTCTACTCACCAAGGCAGTACAGGGAAACCAGGGATCCTGAGAGACAGGGTCTGGAAAAGAGACACAGGGGCCCTGTGAGATCTGCTTCTCCCCTAACTGGGAAGTAAGGACTTGGGCCTTCTGGTACTATTGCATTGAAGTCTCCTGCCAATTACCTGGGAAATTTGGAACCTGCATAGTAGAGGCTGTATGGAAACTTCATCAACACTCAGTTCAAAGCAATTAATTTCAGTTGGATCCAACACCCCCATCGTTCTGAGCCTTGTCTGTGTCAGAGCCCAACCCAGACTCCTGAAGCCTGAGATAGAAGAGAGTAGAGCCTGGGACAGAGTCTTATGCACTGTGGGCATTCCAAAAGAAAGAGTAATGGGATTTTGATGGAATTCTAGGCAAGTGATCATTCTGTAATGTCTGTCTCCTTTTCAAGATTTACTCTGATGAATAAACAGCACTCAGCAACATCCTGAATGCTAAGAAGCCAGCATCCTCTCTGAGCCACTTTGCTGCAGTGTGACAGATTTCATTTAGATGCTGTGTTCTAAGCAGGGTGGTGAGGCATCTGAACAGGCCATTGACAAAGGCCATAGAGATTGGGAATATGGAGAGGCCTTACTGTGGCCTGGGCAAGTGGTGGAGAAGGACAAAGTAGCCTTTGGAATCTTGCCTTTTGGCTTTCTTAGGAAGCTAAATCAATAGAAGAAAACATTTGGTTTTACTATTTCAACTGCAAGAAAGGTCACCTTATCCATATCCCTGCCTTCAGGTAGGATAGCACACTTTGTTCAAGCCTGGTAAACAGTTGTCCCTTAGAAAACCTCTCAGAAATGTGATTCTACAGCTCTTGGTATTTAACAATCTGCCAGGCGAGGAGTTCTTTCTGTTGTCTGGCTTACTTTCCACTTGCTGCCAGTCTACTCAAGGGTGAGCTTAGATGCAGCCCTAATAGCAGCTCCAATCATTAGCCTTTCATTAGCCTTTTGTAGGCAAGAAGGTATATACCCTCTCACTTACCCACTTGAGTTCTGCACATGAAGCTCTTGGCTGTTTTCCGTGATTTCAACAACATCCAGATCCTGGTCTGGGCTAATTTCCACTGCTCTAAAGGTGGGTTTGCTGTTCATATGGGAGGAAGAGAGATTTGTGAGCTGGGGTAGGAGATCAGAACGAGATGGTGGGGAGTAGTAGCCTTCACTCCTAGGAGATGGTGGGTGGCAGACAACACCGGGTGGCGGATGGCAGGGAAGTGGAGGTGGTCTTGGTCAGTAATGGTAGTGCCTGGTTTGTCATATGATAAGGGACAATCCCTTGGCATCCCAGAATTCAGCCCTAGGTTCAAAGCTGGCACAGCCTTGTTTTCTTGGGTAAAGAAGTCTGGTCTAGAGCCCAGAACTCTGGATCCCCATTTCTAACTCTCAGACGGTTCCCTCCAAGGCATTTGTCCTGAAATTGGTAGTGGGAATACCTTTTTATAGCCCCCCTAGAGATAGGTCAGGATTGATGAATCCAGACAAACATTTCTCCCATTTGGCCTAGCCCTTCTCTTGCTCTCTACTAATCCATGTTTGCCTTCTTCCAAAACTTAGTTTAAGTCTTTCCTCCTCCAGGAAGATTTCCCTGATTAATGCCATTTCTCTGATTATTCCTTTACTGAATTTACCTCTTCCAATTCTTTTCCTTTCTTGCACTCAGAGCTGCAGTCACTCTGTGGCACTGACACACTGCTACATTTTCACATTAATTCCCAGCCAGGTATGTTGGTCTGCTTGGGTGGACCCAAGTCGTGGACCTAGAAGGACCAGAGTCTGCCAGTGCTGGGTTTTGTATTAAGAGTCCTCAAGAGCTAGATTTTTATCCTGGCTGACACTAGTTTGATGTGTGACCTTGGGCAGGTCACATTCCTTCTCTGCATTTCTCTAAGCCTCCATTTTCCCCTGTGTAAAATGATGGGGGGACCAAATGAACCCTAGGGTCCCTTGCATCTTGAGCCATCTATGGTTTTGTGCTCCTCAGATAAGAAGAGCCTGCAATCCAGATGGAGAAAGGAAAGTTGAGAAATCTGGGATCCTATAGAAGGAGGGACACTATTGTAAATGGATATTCCCAGGAAGACTAACAGCAGTTCACCAATTACATTGTGATGGATAATTCTAAAGAAGTTTGGTTTCTTAGAGCCTAAGAGCCAGGTAGCAAAGTACCTAAGACACTTGACTGCTAACCAGAAGGCTGGCGGTTCAAACCCACCAACCACTCCTTGGAAGGAAGGTTGGGCAATCTACTTCCATAGTGATACCGCCTCAGAAACCCAAGGAGGGGTTGCTATGAGTCGGGTCTGACTTCCCGGTAAATAACAACAAGAGCCAGGTGACTTGGTGCCTTAGTGAGCTCAGAAAGGAAAGCAGTTCCAGGAGCCTGTCACCTTAAGAACTCCTAAGGGCACCCTGGTTTCATAATCAAGACTCAGCCTGCCGTGCTGGGTACAGCTGACACTGCAGTTGGCTAGACTGCAGTGGGAGGAGGGGCCGCTGCAGCCAGGAAAAGGGGAGAAGAATAGCAGATGTGGGGCATGTCTTCTTAGCTCTCTTCAAAAATATAGGTGGTGGGGTGCCCTTTCCAGAGGGCCCTGTGGGAGTTGCATCCCAGGGTGGGTAGAGAGCAGCAGAAGCCTGATAACTGGAGAGTAGAGGACAAATAGGTCTGATCAATTAGTAATGGCTGCCTGGAGCTTTTATGGGAAAGGACCTTGAGGTTGCTTTAGAGATCGATGGAAGAGTGTTGTGATTGATTGGCGATGTCTGCCTAGTATTTATCTTTTCTGCCTAGTCCCTGGGGTCAATTTCTGCGAATCCTGAAGAAGGTTGGGCCCTGCCTGGGAAAGGTTATCACACTCTGCAGCTGATCACATTAGTTCTTTTTCTTCTCTACTTAGGCTCTCTGAGTAACCAGCCATCTCACCTTTCCTCTCCCCCTCCCTTTATAAATGAGCAGAGAGAATTACCCAAACTAGAAACAGATGCTAGAACTCCTATGTCCAGGGACTAAGGGGCCTTGGATACAAATTTCACTTCTCTTTCTCCAAGCTACAACCTAAGCAAGTTATTTACCCTCTCTGAGTCTATCTATAAAATAGACACAATAATAACTATCTGGTTTCCTGCCAAAATGAAATGAATATAAATATATATGGTAATTACCCTTATTATAACTATATACTTTTTCATCTACTCCAGATTTGGAGTTGCATTTAAAATTTGCTGAGAGAGCTGGGATTGCTTATGGGGCTTCCATGAAATCAGCATTGCTTGAACTAAATTTTAACCATTGAGACTTTGAGTAAGTCAACAAGGCTTCTGAATTCTAGGCTGAGAACAACTTCTTCTTCTTTTTTTCTTTTAATTTTTATTGTGATTTGAGTAAAGTTTACTGAGCAAATTCATTTTCCATACAGCAGTTCATACACATTTTGTTTCATGACATTGACTGCAATTCCCCACAATCTAACAGCTCTCTTCCCATTTCTTCCCTATAGTTACCTGTTTCCTGTGTCTTTCTTTCCTATGCATTCCTGAGCTATCTCCCTGTGCAAATACTGCCCATCTGTTCTCCTATGACTGATCGTTCCAAGAAGTGTTATCTACCTTGTGTAAATGTTCACCCTATATGCCTATCTATTGTTTGACTGGAAGCCACAGGAGTCAGTTCAATTTCAGGCCTGAAAGGTAACTAGGGGCTATAGTCTCAGGGGTTCAACAGGCTCTATCAGACCAGCAAGCCTGGTCTCTTTTATGATTTTGAGTTTTGTTCCACATTGTTTTCCCACTCTATCCAGGATCTCCTGCGCTGATCCCTTTCCAAGTGGTTAACAGTGGTAGCCGGTCAATATCTATCTAGTCCTTTTGGTCTCATGGTCATATAGGCTGAGGTTCTCATGGCCCACTAGTCCCTTGGACTAATTGTTTCCATCTGTCTTTGGTTTTCTTAACTCTTTTTCGCTCTGGACAAGGAGAAACCAATTATTGCATCTAGAATGTCACTTGCAAGCTTTTTTTTTTTTTTTTTGTGATTTGGGTGAAGATTTACAGAGCAAATTCACTTTCCATACAGCAGTTTACATACACTTCACTTGCAAGCTTTTAAGACCCCAGTCGCTACTCACCAAGTAGGATGTAGAACAAAGTTTTTGTGTGGTATGTTATACCAATTGAGCTTGCTGTCCTCCACGACTATGGTCCTGAGCCCACAGGTCCAGCAACTCACTCCACTAGGGTGGTTGACTGTGGCTAAGAAGTTATCATAACTTTGCCCCTGTTTTATTTATGTAGACATTCTTACAGCACATACAAATAATATGTAGAAACATTGTCTGCTGACCTTATATATGGTCATGGATACATTCCTTTTGCCTAGACACATCTGATCAGCCTGTCTACCCATCTATTTATAAGGACAGCTTCTTATAAAATCAGAAAGGAGGAGTGATGATAGAGAAAAAAGGAAAAGAGAAGGTGTGAAGGAGCTAGAACTCTCACTTTCCCTCTGTGTGTGTGTGTATGTGTGTGTGTATGTGGGGGCATACATTCTCTCACTGGCACCTTATAGTCATCCTTTGAGGTTGGCATTGCTTTCTCTAATTAGCTCTTGAGGAAATTTAGGCTTAGGAGATTTATATCATGTTACCTGTAAGTGAAACTGCAAGGATCCAAAAGCAGGTCTGTTTGACTCTGATGCCTATAGTTTTAGGAAAGAAAGAGTAAGGGAGGTAGAAGGGGAGGGAAGGGGGAAAAGAGGAAGGAAGTGATAGGAGGGTTCAGGGACAAGAAGTCACATCCAGAGGTATGGGTTGGGTACCTGTCATAGCCCATCTGCCCACAGGCTGTCTTGGCCAGAGTTTCTGTGAAGTTGTCGAAACAGGCTGAGGCCCAGGCCCCTGTAGTGGGGTCCAGCACCTGCAGGGTGGATCGGTCTTTGGAGAGGCGGACTGGGAAGGGAGGAAGCTGGGTCAGCTGGAAGGCAGGGGCTCATCTGGCCTATTCCTCTTAGACCTTGTTGTGGACCAGCCCAAGCTTCCCCCTCCCCACTCCATCCAAAACTGGGAAACATTGTAGAGCACCAACACTTTCAACATCAAGGGAAATTCCTCCATTTGGCTCTGCCTGATTGAGCCATTGAGTTTATTCTGCTGCATGGCAACCTCATGCATCAGAGAACTGTGCTCCCTAGGGTTTTCAATGGGTGATTTTTTTTTTTTTTGGAAGGACATTGCCGGACCTTTCTCTGAGGGTGAACGTGAAGTTTGAACCTTTTAATTAGCAGAGAATGCATTAACTGTTTGCACCACCAGGAATGGTAGCTAGGGAACAATCTCCATTTTGTCCTGCTGCCCTGGCACAATTATTAATAGTGCTATCTTTTGCTCTTCCAGGTATCACTTGTGGTGACAAGTTATATGATCACTCTTCTCATGAGCTACCACATTGGTCCAGCTTGGGAAACTTCTCAGCAAGGGCACCTAGGTCTTTCTCCATTAAAGCTGGGGGAGGATGTTTGAATGAAAAGCATTATTGATAGTAGGGTAGCAGGTACCCATAGCATTTACCTTCTGATTCAATAGGAACAAATACAGAGGATATTACTCAGCTCTGCCCCTTGAAAGCCCCATCACTCATCTGGACTATCTTTTCTCTTCAGAGCCCATGTACTTGGGTGATTCAAGCTGGGCTAGACCAATCTAAGAAAGAATATGAGTTTTTATGTTCAAAATATCTCATATTCTTTTGAAGGACCTAACCTATTCCTGATAGCCCACAACCTACAACAAATACTTATCTAATGAATAGAAGGACCAATAGCTGGCTAAATGACTTTAAAGGTTTCTTTCTAGTCCCCCTGAAATAATAGATTTTGTAGAAAGGAAGAAACTCTTCAAGGTCACCCAATCCAGCCTTCAAGGTCATCAGTGCCACTCAGGTGCAGCAGGAAAAGGACAAACCCAATGACAATTTCCTGACTCCTCTGGACCACATTTGTCCATCAAATATTTACTGAATGTCTTTGATGTGTTAAGTGCTGGAGAATCTAAAGGTAAACAAGATGTGTTCCTGCTTTCCAACCTCACAGTAGGCATAGAAACTGACTAGTAAGTGGCAGGTGCCACCCAGTAGACCAAGGGGTCCTGAGCTGACTTCCAACTGTGCCCACCCCTCTTGTCCCTTAGACCCTGGACTCACCTCCCACTGGGGGCCCATCAGGGTAGTTCTTGACACAGTGCAGCTCATCCTCCCCTGAGGCACAGTCCAGCTGGCCATCACACACTTGCGTCCTGGGGATGAAGTGAAGGGGCTGCCCACAGAAGAAGTAGTATTTGTCCAGGATCATCTTGACTGGAAGGCAAATGAAGGGAGGGGCAGAGAGGGCTGAGGGCCAACTAGATGGCTGACGCAGGGAGAGAGACTGGGCTTTCCTGAGAATAATGTTGGGCTTGGAGACAGGTGGGTCTGGGCTCCAAGACCAGGTCTGCCACTTAGTAGCTGTGTATATTTGGTCCTGAGTTTTGGTTTCTTTATTTGTTAAATGGAGAGACTAACACCTGCCCCATACCTATAAAATGGCTATGGAATCAAGCAAGATATATGCGGGAGAAGTTTAGAAGCAGGCCCCACCCCCAGGTTTTTACCCCCAAGTGCTGGCACAGTATCTGGTATCACAGTATCACAGTATCTAGTATCACAGTATTCTGGTAACAGAACCCAGGTCTCAAAGACTTGATTCTGAGTCCTAGCTCTGCCCCTGGGAGCTCTGGTACCATAGTGCCTAAGACACTTGACTGCTAACCAGAAGGCTGGCGGTTCAAACCCACCAGCCACTCCTTGGAAGGAAGATGGGGCAATCTACTTCTGTAGTGATACAGCCTCAGAAACCCAAGGAGGGGTTGCTATGAGTCGGGTCCGACTCAACAGCACATAACAACAACAACAACAGCTCTGCCCCCAACTATGCAACTTGAGACCCATTCATCTCCCCTTTCTATGTCTCAGTTTCCTCATCTGTAAAATGACAGAATAATACCTACTTCATAGGGTTGGTAAGAACATTTAATGAACTGGTAGTTGTGAAAGTATCTTATAATCCTCAAGTACAGGTCTAATGTTAGGTGTTTTTCCTGGGGTTGAAAGAGTCCTTAAGAAGTTTTTTTTTTTTTTTTCTCTCTCTGCTGCCTTTACATTCAGCCAGCTGCCTTCAGATTCTGTCACTCCTTTGCCATCTTGGGATGGTGGGAATACATTTTGCTTTTTTAACCCTTCAGGAGACATATATTTAAAAGCTTTTCCTTGGTTAAGGGCTCATAGCGAAACATCCCTGCCAGGAAGGCCGCTTCTTCTGTTTAACTCAGCTCCAGTACCCGTGGGCCATAAGACTGGTGGGAATGTGCTCCACTTACCACTGTGCTAAGAGCTTCCATGCATTTCCTTATACAATCCTGCCACCAGCTTTAGGAGGCAGGTATATTGCAGTGCCTAAGGCATTTGACTACTAACCAGAAGGCTGGTGGTTCAAACTCACCAGCCACTCCTCAGAAAGAAGGTTGGGTAATCTACTTCTGTAAAGATTTACCACCTCAGAAGCCCAGTGGGGTTTGCTATGGGTCAGAATCGACTCGATAGCAGTGTTTTTTTTTTTGTTGTTGTTGTTCATTACAAATGAAGAGACTGAGGCTTAGAGAGTTAGGCATATTTCCTAAGGCCATGCAGCAACTTAAGTGGCAGAATCAGGATTTGAATCAGGGTCCAACTCTTGGCTGCCTCTCCATGCCTTCCCTGAAGGAGCTAAAGATGTGATCTGTTGGCCCTGATGCTCCTGGGTTGAGTGAAGCAAGGGAGAAAGAACAGGTCAAATACTGCCTAGATCTCCAGAGTTTGTTTCCTGATCAACAGCCAGGGCAAGGCAGGATCATCCTAGCCTCTTGAGACAAGGCCGAGTAACACTGTCACAAGTTGAAACCACAGAAGCCAAAAGGATGAGGGGGCCTAAGTCAGGATAGAGGTGTGGGTTAACTCCTCTGCAGCGGTGGCCATGACATGGAAGCTCCACAGGGCCTGCTGGGACAGAGAGAGCTCAACTCTAAATGAAATTATGACCTGGTGACTGCCCTGGCTTTCCCCAGAAGAATTTGGCTCTTCTCTCTCCACTGTGGCAGGGCATATGCTCAGAGAAGACAAGCTTATTTTAATATTAGTCTGGGTAAAACAGACTCAGTATGGACTTGGTTCCTGCCCAGCTCCGTCCCCAACTGCCACACCTCCTTCTCTTTGGGCTTCCGCTCTCAAGTGTGGAATGAGGGGTTGGACCAGAAAACCTCTGAGTGTTCTTCAATGAGGCTGTGACTGCTGCTGGTGGCAATGCCACCCAGGTTGCAAGTGTAGTTCCTGAAGGCTAGCCATTTTGGTCCTGCCCCAGCCAGCAAATGTGTGTCCTTGGCCACATCACTGTATGCTGTACAACAACACCCACACTTACAGGCTGTTTTTTCCCCAGCTTCTTTGCACACATTATCTCATGGTTTTTATGATACTCCTCCGAGGGAGGCAGACTATTTTACAGATAAGGAGACTGTGGTTAAGAGAGGTTGAGTGACTTACTTAAGATCACACAGCAGTAAGTGGCAGTGCCGAGATCCCTGTCCTAGGTCACTTGATTTCTAGTCCAGTGTCCTATGCCCAACTGCGCCGTTAAAGCTGTGAGTCAGTGAATGCGGTGGTGGTGGTGGGGCGGGAGATGAAGGCAAGGATTCAGTCACTATATGTGACAGCTGAAAAGGACTATGGAAATCATTGTTTACTCAGCTATATCTTCTTTGTTACAGATAAGGAAACTGAGGCAGAATGGCAGGTCTGGGGTATCAGTACCCTTTCCCCATCAGTAACATGGGCAATAACATTGGCCATGATGAAGGCCGGGGCGATAGAGCTAAGGGTGGGGAGGGGTGCTATTTGCCTGGTGGTCTTCCCTTCTACCTCCTCTCTTTATCCCCTCCTCACAAGCAGAAATGTCCCCCAGCTCTTCCAGGCAGCTCCAATCCACTCAGCTCTCAATCTGTGGGAGGTAGAGACAGGGGGTGTGGTCGCCCGTGCAAATTGCCTGCGTGGGCTTGTAATATGTGCAGCTTTGCTCTCGCTCTAACTGTGAGGAAGAGCATCTGGGACAGATGGAGCCTGGGCTCCCCTCCCCCTGCACTATTAGAAGAAGTCTCTCTTCAAAGCAGGGAGTGGAAATGTGTGGGTACATGTTTTTTTCTACAAAGTCTTATGTAGATCATCTGCTTATGACTCTGTAAGGGTGGGAGGATGGAGGTGGGCTATGAGGTGAAGGTGGGGGTGAGGCCTCTGGGGTGAGGGATGAGGGTGGGGTGGGGGCTGCCACTTACTGAAGACAGCAACGACAATGATGGCTGCCAGGCTCACCAATGCTGCAATGATGAGGACGCCCACCTTTTTGAAGGTCTCCAGGGAGGTGCGAGGTTTGCGCAGGGGGCTGACATCTGCAAAGAGATGTGAGGCAGAGGGGAAGAGCCAGCAGCCAACGTGCCGAGGTCCCACTGGCTGTCATTTGAAGACTGTGCCTTCTAAGCTCACACTCTCTCCACCATCTGGTGCCTCAGGTGTTGTACCTTGGGAATGCTTTGGGGATAATTTTGGTCAGTACTGGGGGTGTTATTTCTGCAGTTTAAGCTTAGCTTCTTCAGCACAAGTTTACCCTGCCTCCTGTGAAGTTTATCCTTCATGTCTGACTCAAGCACACTCAAATGAGCCTCCAGCCCATATTGCCTTCCTCTTCTCGTGGCTTCACCCCTGTTCAGCCTGCTCTGGGAGAGCCTGAGCCTCTCAGACACATACTTTGGCACATACCCAGTCACTGGAATATCATTTACCCTCTCTCCTGACTTATCTTTTAGTTAAAGTATAAGCTTGAGGATGGTAGGGACCTCCAGCACAGCATGGGATTATACTGAAAACCAAACCAGTTGCTGTTGAGTCACTTCTGAGCCCATATGTGTAGAACTGTGTTCCATAGGCTTCTCCATGGCTGATTGTTTGGAAGTAGATCACAAGGTCTTTCTTCTGAGATACTTCTGGGTAGATCTGAACCTCAACTTCTTAGTTAACAACCAAGCACATTAATAGTTTGCATCACCCAGAGGTTTAATAAATACCTGTGGATGAATGCATTCTAATGACCTTTATCTCTAATTCAATTCAGTAATGAGTCCCCAGCATGGCCCTTGTCTTTTAAGGAGATTACAGTTTAGGAGAAAAGGTAAACAGGGACCCAGATGTCAGTCTCACCTGGCCCAAGATGATCTGTGTTGAAACAGAGACATTATCAAAGGTAGACCAGTGAAACATCCTGAGGAAATATGGGAGGAGATGGGGGAGGGATGAGACTGGACCAGTTCAGACAAAGGCATGGAGGTATAGAATTGAAAGCTGCCTGATCTGCCTGGAATATAAGGTGGGTAAAACATGTGGTTGGGGCAGCACTGGGCAAAGTCAAGAGTCTTGAATGCCATGCTAAGGACTTTGGATTTTGTCCTGAAGGTAGTGAAGAGCGACTGACGGTTTTTGAGCAGTGGAGCGACATAATCAAACGAATATTTAGGAAGATGAATCTTTCATCAGGGAGGGTATGGATTGGAGCAAAAGAGACTGGAGTTAGGAAGACAAGATAGGAGGCTGCCGCTACCTAAAGTAGAGGTAACAATAGTAAATGTGACCACTTTGCAGGGTTAGCCAAGGAGATAGTAAGTGGGAAGGACTTTGCAAAGTCAAATCCTCAGGAAGTGGAAGTGATGGGTTCCTTTAAGTACCCTTTCCTGGGAAGCAATAACTGGGGAGGTGCACTGGGGACTCCTTCTCCTGGAAAGATGGGCAGGAATTATGGCAGCCCTGCGGAATCATAAAGAATGAGGCAGGGGTTTGCAGCATCCGTTTTCAAAAATTCAATAAACAAAAACAAAATACCAGGAAACAAATTAAAAATATCCAATTGCTACTGAGTCATTTCCAACTCATGGTGACCTCATGTGTGTCCGAGTAGAGCCCCAGAGGGTTTTCAACAGCGAATCTTTCAGAAGTAGGTCCCTAGGCCTTTTTTCTGAGGCATCTCTGGGTGGATGGGTTAGTAGCTTAACCCAGGGCTTCTTTTCTTTTGGACAATGACCCTGAATTATAATATCCTGTAACTCCTTCCTCTAAACTAAATAGTACACAGAATCCCATAGCTATTTTTAACCTACTACTCTGGTGGCATAGTAGGTAAGGCATTTGGCTGTTAACCAGATTGTCAGTGGTTCAAACCCACAAGCTGCTTTGTGGGAGGAAGATGAAGCCATCTACTTCTGTAAAGATTTACAACCTTGGAAACCCAATGAGGATTGCTATGAGTCCTAATTGACTCCATGGCAATGGGTTTGGGTTATAAGAGGAAGATAACTTGATATACCTTCATTCTCTCTCCTCTTCCTTTCTTTTCCTTGCTTGAGACAGTTAGAAGAAGCACAGCCTGTTGTCCCCAACCTAGGTTAACCTCCTCACCCCAAGGTGGGTGGTCCATCAATCTCATGGACTCCTCATGAAAAACCCAAAACCCAAAAACCAAACCCACTGACTTCTAATTAATTCTGACTCATAGCAACCCTATAGAAGAAGGGGTTGGGGTTGTCCATGGTAAGCTGGAGCTACCACAGATTGTGTACATTTTTTTCCAACTCTACATTCACATTTGTGGGCATGATGGGAGTATTCACACCACGCAAAACAGGAAACACTACAAATTAGGGCTTCCCCACTCCCCTCTTCCCAGAACTGGTTGTTAAACATTTACCAGCACACCCTGGTTGTGCTCCTCTTCTTCTCAAAATCTCTAATGGTCAGAAGGATTATAGAGACTGTGACTACTTCTCACCTTCTGGTTCAAGCCCCCTAGCTGGTCTCCCTGCTGTCTAGGGTCTCACCAAAGATGTCAGACTGATCCTATTAAAATGTGCTTAGAACCCTCCAAGGGTCCCACCCCACTCAGAGTCAGAGCCCTTCCAGTAGCCTTCAAGGGCCCAATGATTTGCCCACCTGTTACCTGTCCGAGCTATTCTCCTATTCCCCTCCTTGCTCACTCTGCTCTAGGCAGCCCTGGGAAACCCTAGAAAGCAGTAGGCCAGCCTACCTTCCGCCACCACCTCCACATGGCTTACTCCGTTCCTCCTTTACCCTCTTCAAGTCCATCTTCAAATATCATCCTCTTAATGAGGCCTTCCTTAATCTCCTTATTTATAATGCAACTTTCTAATATTTCCTATCCTCCTTCCCTGCTTTATTTTTTTCCAAAGCATTTTTCACATCCAAAATACTCTGTATTTTGCATATTTTGTATATTTTCCATCCTCTCCCAACCCTCCCTAAACTGAAGACTCCATGAAGATAGAAACTTTTGTCTGTTTTGTTCACTGTTTTATCCCCAGTGCCTAGAACAGTGCCTGGCCTGCAGTAGGCAGTCAACAAATATTTGTTGAATGAATAAATGATTAATACCTTACTTTGTTCTCTTAAAGAAAGTCTGGTGGCATAGTGGGTAAGACATTTGGCTGATAAACAGAAGGTCAGTGGTTCAAACCTACCAGCTGCTCCATGGGGGAAAGATGAGGCAACCTACTTCCCTGAAGATTTATAGTCTTGGAAACCCAGTGGCGGTCATTATGAGTTGGAACTGACTTGAGGGCAGTGGATTTGTTTTTTTTCCATCTGTTCTCTTAAGCACACATCTTTCATCTATCTTACAGGTTTCAAATGATATCTGGTTATCTGTCTGTCTATCCCTTTCCTCAGCTCTTCAAAAGCAGAAACTGGCCTCTGCCAGAGATTGATGCCCAATAAATACTAATACTATGGAATCTGTTATAGGGAAAACTTAGTAAACTCTCTTGAAAGGGAGAGTCTCAACCTCAAATACCAAACCTAGGCACGGGGAATGTGAGCAGGAAGTGATATTGTAAATTATCAACACTTAGCATATCATAACAATGCTAGCCATTTTGTTTTTAAGTTCCAGCAACTGGTCTTCAGAATTACCCTCTTTCGTGGGGCCTTTCATTCTTGACTATTTATTGAGTACCAGACCACTCATTTCTCCCCTGAGGATATGAGATTGGCTTGTCTTCTTGAAGGCTGAGCAACATATTGGGAACTTCTTGATAAATTCCTGTGTACAGAGCTCAATGCCTTCAGCACCAGGTGTTCTCAGGAAGGATCTGCTTTACCTCATCATGAAGGGAAGGGTTTTCTTGTCTCACATCTAATTAACGTTAACAATCCTACTGAAGTATGGCCTCCCTGACTGCCATCTTTCCTTCCTCCAGCTATGGCTAGACAAAAACCAAAAGCCTATTTCCACTGAGTCAATTCTAACTCATAGTGATCCCATGTGTTACAAGAACTGTTCCATAGGTTTTTTTTTTTTTTTGGACTGTGATCTTTATGGAAACAGATCATCAGGCCTTTCTTTTGTTGTGCTTCTGGGTGGGTTCGAACTGCCAACCTTTGAGTTAGAAGTTGAGTGCAAACTGTTGTGCCACCCCAGGGACCTATGGATAGACAGAACTTCCTAAAGTATCAGAGCTTCCTAAACTTTCATCTTGTCACTTCCCTGCTTGAGGACCTACAAGGGCTCCCCATGATTTCCATATCTGGCTCTACTCTCCCAGCCAAATGGACTTCCTATTGAGATCATCACCTACCCTCAGTGCCAAGTAGGCACTTCCCGGTCCTCTCACAATCCATATGAATTCTTACTCTGTGCCTTTCCTTATGATATTGCTTCTACCATGCTCTTATCACCCTTTTCTGGTCTTGATAGTGTTGTTGTTGTTGTTCTGTGCCATCGAGTCAGCCCCTACTCAAAGCGACTCCTCCTTGGGTTTCCGAGGCAGAATCACTATGGAAGTAGATTGCCCAACCTTCCTTCCAAGGAGTGGCTGGTGGGTTTGAACTGCCAGCCTTCTGGTTAGCAGTCAAGTGCCTTAGATACTATGCTACCAGCAGGGCCTTTGTCAAGGTTCACCTGTCCCTGATGCTATCCCTGACCACTTAAGCAACACTGATCTCTCTCTTTCTCGTGCTCCCTTCATACATGGCATCTGTAGCAAATTTGACTTGTGTTCTGGCTCAGCAGCCCTCAGTCTTATGCTTTTGGTGGAGCACTCAGAAGCTCAGTGCTCTTTAGGGGACATGATGGGCTGTTGATATATAAATTCCAAAATATCAAGTAGGCACTGTTTGACGTGCTGAAGATTGCATCATCTGTGATCATTAGAACTCATGACTCTGGACTGTGAAATAAATAAGCTGTCAAAGTAAGTGGGATTGGTCATTTAAAAAAATTGATTGGTTCATATTTTTTCTTTGGCCATTCTTTTGTGAATTCAATAGGCTAGCAGGAGTAGGTATCAAAGATTAAGAAAATCTAATGGGAAAGCCCCTTAAATTTGGGAACATTTTATTAACATATTTTTCTCCTACAAATCAGGCAAACACTTTTCCATAGGTGAAAATATCATTATTCAACTTATTCCTTGGCACCATGGTTACACTGCAAACTCTGTGAGGGAAGGAATTTGGGCTGTCTTATGTAGTTGGGAGCTCAGGTGGTGCAATGGTTAAGGTATTTGGCTGCTAACCAAAAGTTTGGCAGTTTGAAACTACCAGCCACTCCAGAGAACAATAAGGTAGCCTGCTTCCATAAAGATTTACAGCCACAGAAACTCTATGAGGTAGTTCTACTCTGTTCTATAGGGTTGGTATGAGTTGGAATTCACTCAGTGACAGTGGTTTGTGTAGGTTATATACTGTTATAGTCCAGCACTCACAATTCTGTTGAATAATTGAGATAATGGAGTAGCTGAGTGAATGCGGTGGAGAACCACTGCTGTGGGGGTTTTAGGTTTGATGTCCTTATTTCCTTAGATGCCATGCCTCCTACTGTTAGAATGGTTACTGAAACTTACAGGCCCTCAATAAATGTTTGTTGAATGTTGGATAGATGAGTGGTTGGATTCCCCACAGCATTTAACACTTGGAGGTAGTGATGAGGGGCACACAAGAGGAGCTTAACACCTGCTTGGTCACTGAGTGAAAATCAAGGGCTGAGATAAACAAAGAAAGCCGGACCTGAGCTTACCGAAGCTGTTCAGGGGTTGATCACTGTCAGGATCCTGTAAATGAAGGAGAATCAGTAAGTTGGGTAAAATAAATTCTCAGGCTAGGGCTGGCACTTGTTCCTTGTCTGAGTTCTCTTCTCCTTGCTGAATCTAAGTTGGGGGTCTCTGTATTATCCAAATAATTTGTTCAAAATGAAAAATTCAGACATGCAAATACTTGACCTAGTACAATTAGTAGCAACTAGTTTGCAATTGTAGAAATGGCTGCTGAACAGTTGTGTGTATTGCTGAGTTTCCCAAGACAATTCTGCTCTACTGACTGCTTTGTCATTTATCTATTTTGTCATTTATTTATTTTTAGATATCATAAAAACTTAAAGGTATACTTCACAAAAGGACCAATAAGTACCCCAAAAGATGCTCAACATCATTCTTATTCATTTGGCAAATGCAAATTGAAACCACAGTGAGGTATCTCTACATAGACATCAGATTAGCTAAAATTAAAAAGCCTGACAATACTAAGTGCTGGTGAGGACACAGAGCAAAAAGGACTCTCACATATTGTTAGTGGGAGTGTAAATTAGTAAAAATACTTTGGAAAATCTTTGGCTGAATCTAGTAAAGATAAAACTATGACTGTTCTATGATTCTATGACTGAGAAATTCTACTGCCGGGACATATCTAAGAGAAATGATATGTCTAGCAAAAAAACCTGTACATAAATGCTCATGTTGTTGTTGTTATGTGCCATAGAGTTGGCCCCAGCTCATAGCGACCCCTCCTTGGGTTGCCGAGGCAGTATCACTACGGAAGTAGATTACCCAACCTTTCTTCCGAGGAGTGGCTGGTGGGTTTGAACCTCCAACCTTCTGGTTAGCAGTCAAGTGCCTTAGGCACTATGCTACCAGAGCTCCTTAAATGCTCATAGTAACTTCATTTATAAAACAAAACCAAATTCACTGCCATTTGAATCAATTCTGACTCATAGCGACCCTCACTGGGTTTCTGAAGTGGTCAATCTTTATGGAACTAGATTGCCCTATCTTTCTTCCATGGAGCAGCTGGTGAGTTTGAACTACCAACCTTTTGGTTAGCAGTCAAGGACTTTAGGCACTGAGCCACCAGAGCTCCTTAGCTTCATTTATAGTCGTTAAAAATTGGAAAAACCCAAATATCAATTATTGGTACAATGGATAAATAAATTGTGATATATTCATATAATGGAATATAATTCTGCAATAGAAAAGGATGAATGAGTGCTAAACGCAGTGACAGGGATCAATCTCACAGACATAACGATGAAGATACAAAAGAGTATAGTGTATATGATTCCATTTATATGAAGTTTAAAAATAGGTAAAATTAATCTATGATGAGAGAAGTCAGAATAGTGGTTACCACTGTGGAGGTTGAGGGGGCAATTATTGACTAGGAAGGAGCACAATGGAGCCTTCCAGAGTGTTGGAAAAGTTATGTCTTAATCTGGATGTAGGTAACATTAGTGTATATATGTGTAAAAATTCACTGAGTTGTATACTTTACATTTGAGTATTTTACTGAATGTATATTATACACAAACAAACAGAAACAAAAACTCTCCAAAACGCTATGATATTTCTGAGAGTGAGGTCATGGGTCACACACATACACAAACACACCAATAGACACTGTTCTTCCTGCTTATGCTGCTTCATGCATGAACTCAGTGCATACATGCCACATACAAACACACAGGAGCTGCACACAAGGCTCACACACCAAGTTCACACACCTCCACACTTTCCTGCAAGGCAGAGGTTAAAGAGGGGTGCTGCCAAGGTTCATGCTCTATGAACTCTTCCCTCCCTCTCTTGTGCCTCCTAGAAAGCTTCCTTCTCTTTCCCAGTCTGGCACAGAATCTTGAATCCATGGGTTGGTTGAACAGCAGGGATATTCAAAGCCTCGGCCTGGGTCTCCACCCAGGGACTTGCCTGTCACATGTGCTGAGGTCACAACTGGCTCCTATGGTGGGTGGAGGAACCACAAAGCCCTGCTCATTTCTAGTCGGGAATTTTTCCAGCCCATTTGGGAGCAAGAGAACCTCTTCTAACCCTGAGTGAGTGTTCCCAGATTAGATATGGGGTTTCTGCGTGTTGCCTGCCCCCCTGGCTGAACACAGCAGACACAGTAAATGGTAGGATGAGCTCCTTCCTTTCTTCCCAAAGTTGAATATGTGGTCTGCTGGAGAAACATGACTGGCATTGATCTTCAGTCATCCTTGGCCAGGGCAGCTGTGTGGTGTAGCTCAGACAGCCAGGTTCAGAAGACAAATTCTTCCTCCAGTTAACTGTGTGCCGTTGGGAAAGATGAAGTCCCTGGGTAGTGCAAAAAGTTAATGCACTCAGCTGCTAACCAAACACTTGGAAGTTTGAGTCCACCTGGAGGCACCTTGGAAGAAAGGTCTGGTGATCTGCTTCCAAAAAAAATCAGCCATTGAAAACCCTGTGGAGAACCGTTCTACTCTGATACACATGGGTCACCATGAGTCAGAATTGACTCAACAGTAACTGGTTAACTGGTTTAGGCAAGACTCTTAACCTCTCTGAGCTTCAGGTTTACCCTCTGTAAAACCAAAAATCAAACTCACTGCCAGCAAGTTGATTCTGACTCATAGTGACTCCGCCTTGGGTTTCCAAGGTGGTATCTCTGTGGAAGTAGATTTCCTAGTCTTCCTTCCATGGAGTGGCTGGTGGGTTTGAACCGCCAACCTTCTGGTTACAGTCAAAAACCTTAGGCACTATGCCACCAGAGCTCCTGCCCTCTATAAAGTGGGGATAATAACACCTATTTTGAAGTGTTGCTGTGAGGATGAAGGAGCTCTGGTGGCATAGTGCCTAAGGCTTTTGACTGCTAACCAGAGGGTTGGTGGTACAAACCCACCAGCCACTCCATGGCAGGAAGACTGGGCAATCTACTTCTGTAAAGATTTACTGCCTCAGAAACCCAAAGGGGGTTGCTATGACTCAGAATCAACTCGATGGCAGTGGGTTTGGTTTTTGTGGTTTGGCTGTGAGGATGAAATGAGCTATCTGGTGAAAGCAATTGGCCCACACATGTAAGCTCCCTGATCTTTTCCCTTCTACTCTCTGCTGCTCCTCATTATAGCACTTCTCCCTTTGGGTGGTCACTGTGTGCTACTGCTTTTGTGCTTTCAGTGTTTAGCTCCAGGCTTGTGTCTGGCGAAGACTTAATAACCGACTTAAACAACTGAACTCTGGGGCTTCCCTGTAGTTTATTCCTAGCCATCTCTCCTTCATCACCACAAAGGCCTGGATGTATGGGTAGTGGGATGGGTGTATGATTTCCAGGATGAGGATGAGAATGAATTGAGTAACTATTGTGGCTACAGTCAGTTAATAATAACACCAACAGTAACTCCCACAAAATTGGTACGTAACAGCTTATAATGTCATTTCTTCTAATTCAATCAATTCAAGGGTGAAAACAGTCGATATCAATTGTGGGAATAATATTAAACAATTTTTCAATTAAAGAAATACTTGTTTGGCGTCTACTTTGCACCAGCCACTGCTCTAGGAGCTGTGGATTCAATGACAAATAAGAAATAATTACAGAAGGATGAAATAAGTGCCCAAACAAGACAGCCAAGGCCCTACCTTTGAGAAGCTTGCAGGTTACAAGCAGACAACCCAGAAAAGATCTGAGAGTGATGAGTACTATGCAGAGATGGAAGCAGGGGCATGGGAGAGAGTGCCTAGATGGATAACTTAGAGCGAGAAGTCTAGAGAAGGAATCAGGGTGTTTAGGCAGAGCTGCTCCAAGATGGTGATACTTCAGCTGAGAGGTGAATGACAAGAAGCCAAAAAGGTTAGCAGGAAGAATCTTGATGTGTTGGAAGAATGAAATGGAGATCATGGTGGCTGGGGGGCTGCAAGCAAGAAGGCCATGAGGAGGGAGAGGGACACTGGGAGTCGAAAGAGTCAATGTATGTTTTCAGATGAGAAAACTGAGGCCCAGAGAAGGTTGGTAGAGAAAAGGGAGCTGAGAGGCTGACGAAAACCAACTCTGCTTTGCTCTGTTTATCCCCAACTTGAAGTCAGCCCTTGGTCACAGTTACCATAGCACAGCCCAGCTCCAGTGAAGCCAAGGCATTGGCCTTTCCCTTTTTGCTTGGGCCACTGGTTGGCTAGCCTGTCTTCTGTTAATTGAGTCTGCAGCAGAGCCCTGACTCATCTATCCAGCCTACTGTCCCAGCAATACTGCAGGAAGGCCAACCCAGGATCGGGGAATGAACTGAAATAAACTGAAAGGGCAGGAATCTCCAGGTCCCAGGATGGACCCGGGTGGAGGAGATGGAGGGGGTGGGAAAGGAGGTGGGAAGATGTTAGATGGCTGAAAAAGGAAGGTTGGGCAATTTACTCCTGTAGTGATACCGCCTTGGAAACCCAAGGAGGGATTGCTATGAGTTGGATCTGACTCGACAGCAGTGTTTGGTTTGGTTGGTATTGCTTGATTAATTCAGAGACTTTTCCTTCCCTGCTTGTCTCTTGGTCACTGATGTCAGGTGGACATTAATGAAGGACATTAATCCAAGACCCAAATGTAGAGGCAGAAGAATTACAGCTACAGTTATGTATTGTTATATAGCTTACACTATTCATTCAGAAATATTATCTCATTTAATTTCAGAACAACCCTGTGAAATTATCTACATTTTACAGGGCAGAAATCAAGGTTCATAAAAATGATGTGACCTCTATGGCCACATAGCAGGTAAGTAACAGAACTAGCTCTTGGGACTAGACTTTTGGACTCAGTGGACTTTCGCTCATTTCACCACTATTTTAGGAACCCATTGGAGTAGTGCCATTAGCAGGTGCTACGTCCTTTTACTTCTCTACCAAACCAGATCAAACTCACTGCCATTGAGTCTATTCTGACTCATAGCTACCCTCATTGGGTTTCTGAGGTGGTAAATCTTTATGGAAGTAGATTGTCCCATCTTCCTTCTAAGAGTGGCTGGTGGATTTGAATAGCCAACCATATGGGT